TAAATCCATGTTGGCCTGGGTTGTGGAGGTCATTGGTCTCCATGAAACTGCTGACCTGACTCACGATCACACTCTCAAATACTTTTATTATGTGGGACGTTAATGCAACTAGTCTATAATTTTAGCCAATGCTTTGCTCCCTCCCATGTGTAGAGGAGCTATGTCTGCTGATGCGGATTAAAGCGCTTCTGGTATCTCTCTACATGTCCAAGCTCTTCCTCCACACTATACTGAGTGCCTGTGCTACTGGCACTTTGCATTTCCTTATAAATAATTAATTCCATGAGTCTAGACCCAGGGCTGAGTGCATGGGCATAGTAAATTTCTCTTTCAAAATCTGTTACGCTCGTGTTGGTATCAGTTATATTTACAGAGATTTGGATATCACACAAAGTAGTTGTCCAGATCTTCCACTTTCATGCTGTTTACTGAAGTGCTAAACATGTCCTCATACGGCTTTATTAGGATTTCTTTGTCATCCTCAGTGCATGAACCTTCACTCGTATGAATTGGTCCAATACTGGCATGGTTTTTGCTTTTGATTTTGCACATGTCTGTTTAAGCATTTCCATTTTTTTTCCTTCTTTTGTAGTGTCATCTGCGTTCATTTTGGTCTGACATGTTTCTGACAGACTTTATAAGCTTCAGAAGTCAGTTTTTCAGTATCTTGTGTAGGATTTTTATTACTTAGAACAGTTTCCCATTGAATGTTTGTATGTTCCCCTGTTAATCCCAGTCTATCCTTTTATTATTAAAATTGAATTTACTAAATAACCCCTCTCGCTTGATCATTGTTTCAAGTCTATTCTGAGTATTGATGGTGGTTTGCTCTTCAATCAGCCTGTGATCTGAGTATGTGGTATCTGAGATCATAATGTTCCTGATTATATCTCCAATGTTTGTGAAGACCAGATCTAGAATATTTTCATTCCTAGTTGGTTCTGATATATGTTGGTTGAGTAAAAATGTCACAGAATCTAAGTAGTTCACTAATCTGTGGTTGATTGTGTCCAGATAAGATTTCCTGCTATAACATTATTGTTTGCTATTCTCAATCTTAGACTAGGCAGGTTGAAGTCACCTAGGAAGATACTATCAGGTTTTGGGGTTGCCAAATTATCAAGGTTATTGATAATAAACACAATTTTGTTTATCTGTTCTGTGAATTCCTCAGCCATTGCATCTGGTGGTTTGTATGTTATAATAAGTTTATTTTCTCTATTTTTACTCCCAGTACATCTACCACCTCATTTGTCGATTGTCGAGTTAAGGAGCTCCGAGCATAATAGGTCTTCCCTAATATACAGATCCACTCCTCCATGTGACATTTACCCCATCACATCTGTATAGATTATATCCTGGTATCCAGATCTCACTGTCCAAGAATTACCCTGCATGGGTTTCTGGGAAAGCTCTAAATACAGCATTTGACTCTGAGGCCATTTATGAACTTTACTTTGTTTTTAGCTCCTGTTTTTAGTCTGTGTATGTTGGCAAAGATGAATTAGGTTACTCTATTTGGAGTAGTTTGACTGGGAGACTTTCCTGGCAGGTCCATTGTGGGTGGACATATCGAATTTGTTCTGACCAGAGCTGATTGTTGTAGGGCTGTAGCCCGTCGTAGTTGTAGCTCTGTTGTGGTGTGTAATTGTATCTGTGATTCTGGTATGCAAGTGGGGTCTTTCATCCCATTCCATGCATTCTCTGTTCCCCTTTTTGAAATTTCTTTCATCTTGGTATAAAAAAAATTTGAGTTTCCTCCAAATCCATTGTCTTGCTTGCTACTCTTTATGTAGCATTCTGTGCTTTTCACATGAAAGCATGGGCAGCTGAGGACATAGCATTTTCTGTCCTCAAGTGAGGTTTGGCACATGTCAGGACGGAAAAACCTACATGATGATCCAAATCGACACTTTCCTTTCCTAAGTTTATTTAAACATTTTTGGGATGATGGTAACTACAATCAGAGTATTGTATTTTCTATTACTTTCCACTGCTTTCTAGGTTTCTATTACTATTCTATTACTTTTACTATTACTATATATTGTACTGTACTTTCTATTTCAACATCTATGTCTGCAAATGCCCTTCACATAAAATTTGCAGATGTCTGTCCTGGTCTGACTCATTATCAGGCACTGTTGTAGTGTCCCCATCTATTTAGCTGTTAGTGCTGCCCTTTACACTTTCTAGTCTACTGTCATCTGTATCCGGGCATACTGAATCAGAATTTACAACTTTCTGAATTTCTGATTCAGTTTCCACCCTGCATATAGCCTCGGCTCCTGGTCTATTATTATTATTATTATTATTATTATTATTTGTTTCCCATTCTTTCTGGATGGTTGGGAGGCTTTCAATGAATGAAATTTTTTGGTCATGAGTCATGGTATCTAGAAGGTTTTTCAGTACAGTATATTCAAAGTTGACAAGTCATTGTTGCATATCCAGAGTAAAGGGCCAGCTTTCAGGTCCGTGATGTTGCTCACTTCTGTACAAGCAGTGAAATCTATTCTTACATATATAACATCGAATTCCCGTTGTTTTTGCCTTCAGTGTTTTGTTGCAGTGACCACAAATTAGTTTGTTTACTGATATTTTGCCTTGTTTGCTGTTGTTTGTTTGTCTGTGCGCTTGGAAGGGGACTATCCCACAGTTACCAGTGTTCTATATTTTGCATGAATACCAAGCACTTGTACTTGTTTAATCTTGCAATTGTGTATTACAAAATTTAATATGTAAAACCAATTTGTCTGTTGTCTTTACCTCGCACAATACCTAGCTGCATGTTCCTGGGTATACTGTAGATGTGATGGCCGCCTGGAGGTTAGGGGTATGGAAGAAAATGTAGGATAGAACCAGTGAAGAGCAGAGGTGCCATAGGCACAATCAGAGAATACTGTATAAACATCAGAGTCCGCGGTTGTTCAACGTCCTCCCAGCGAGTATAAGAAATATTACCGGAACAACCGGGAACATCTTCAAGAGAAAACTGGACTGTTTTCTAAGAGAAGTTCCAGATCAGCCGGGCTGTGGTGGGTATGTGGGCCTGTGGGCCGCTCCAAGCAACAGCCTGATGGACCAAACTCTCACAAGTCGTGCCTGGCCTCGGGCCGGGCTTGGGAAGTAGAACTCCCAGAACCCCATCAACCAGGTATCAACCAGGGGTGGCTTATCTCCCTAAGTGATCCCTGGGTCACTGTCACCACCTGCTTGATACCTGGTTGATACCTGGTGATGGGGGGAGTTCTTCTACTCCCCAAGCCCGGCCCGAGGCCAGGCTTGACGTGTGAGAGTTTGGTCCCCAGGCTGTTGCTTGGAGCGGCCCGCAGGCCCACATATACTTGGTTGATGGGGTTCTGAGAGCTCTTCTACTCCCCAAGCCCGCCCGAGGCCAGGCTTGACTTGTGAGAGTTTGGTCCACCAGGCTGTTGCTTGGGGCGGCCCGCAGGCCCACATATACCTGGTTGATGGGGTTCTGGGAGTTCTTCTACTCCCCAAGCCCGGCCTGAGGCCAGGCTTGACTTGTGAGAGTTTGGTCCACCAGGCTGTTGCTTGGGGCGGCCCGCAGGCCCACATACCCACCACAGCCCGGTTGGTCCGGCATGGAGGTGCCAGTTTCATATTTACTGTGCTTGGTATTTTAGTATTTAGTTCACTGTACTCAGTATTTTACTAGTTATATTACAGTATATGTATATATTTAAATGTATATGCTTGAAAAAATTTCTAACTGACAGACAGATGAGGGCAGTAATCAAAGATAATGTATCTGACTGAAGGAGTGTTACGAGCGGAGTACCACAAGGTTCAGTTCTTGCACCTGTAATGCTGTATTCATCATCTACATAAACTACAAGAATACAGAATTATATGCACATGTTTACAGATGATGCTAAGATACTGGTGAAGACAGGAGATGCAGATGATTATAATGCCCTTCAAATTGACCTAGATAAAATAACTGCTTGGAGCGTCAAGTGGCAAATGGAATTCAATGTGAATAAATGCCATGTTATGTAATGTGGAATCGGAGAAAATAGAGCACACTCAACTTACAAATTATGTGGAAAAGAATTACAGAACTAATAAAGAACAAGACCTAGGGGTGGTTCTGGATAACTGTTGCCAGTAGAACACAAACACAAGGAACGTTGTGAGAGGAGCGTATGCGTCGCTTTCCAACTTCAGACTTGCTTTTAATTTCATAAATGGTGAAATACTAAAGAAACTGTTCATGACTTTTGTGAGATCCAAACTGGAATATGCAGCAGTTGCACGGTGCCCAAATCTCAAGAAACACATAAATAAATTGGAAAAGGTGCAACAGCATGCAACAAAATGGCTTCTGGAACTGAAAAACAAGAGTTACGAGGACACTAGAGGTGTTAAACATGCCAAAACTAGAAAATAGGAGAAAAAGAGGTGATAAGACCATCACTAACAGGAATCGACCAAATTGACAAAGAGGAATTTCTGAAATCGGCAACTTCATGAACAAGAGGACACAGATTCAAGCTAAGGAAACAAAGGTGCCAAAATAATATAGGAAAGTTTTCTTTTGCAATGTTAGAACAAGCTAAGTGAGAAGGTGGTGGAGGCCAAAACCGTCAGTAGTTTCAAAGTGTTTTATGACAAAGAGTACTGAGAAAACGGGACACCACGAGCGTAGCTCTCATCCTGTAACTACACTCAGGTAGTTACACATATACTGTATATGCATTCAGAAATACTAACACACATACACAAACTTAGAAGCACATGTGTATACACTACACAAACCCAGAGGCACACATATACCAAAATGCACCATGACATACACATACCCAAATGCACACACATACATACATAAACCCATACACAAACACATGCATACACACACACACGAAGTCTACAAGATATTCAAAATAAAATGATATATCTAGCATGAAACAGTGGGTACTACTATTTGCTTCCTGTTAGCACATTTAAAAATTAAATACATTAAATGGAACACTCACCATTGCTGGATCTCCAGTGGGAGGCATGGTGCCATCTGTGTGAGGTAACATAACTTCAGGGAAATTTGGGGGATTTTCTGACCCCATTGAGGAGTCTCCCCCTCCCCCATCCCCTTCTACACCCCAATCCCCTTCATCATCTTCACCTAGATCTACCACATCCTCTTGTTTTATTTCCTGTAAAGAAGAAGCACATTATAAATAACATTACAGTTCTATATATACAATACACAATGCCAAGGTCAAGTTTAAAACATGAATCATTGCACTATAACCACTATTGTACTACAGATGAAAAATTACAGGAACTCACAAATTCAGGCTCTTCTTTTGACTGCTGCGGTTTATGGAGCCCTGAGGGTCCAGGGGAGGGTTCTTCTCCAGTATGACTGGGCGTTAGTTGGTCTGTATGAGAGGTGGTTTCTCCAGTGTTTGTTTGAGGTTGACTGCTGCCTTGTTTAGAACTTAGACTAGGTGTTGTGCTTGAATTTTGTTCACTAAGTCCACTGACACCACTTTGAATACTTGTTCTACTGTCTTCATCTAAAGTTGCTTCCACTGGGGGCATACCAACTTGAGAAGCACCAACAGAAGGGGCTGGGGGTAATGGGGATCGAGATCTGGATACTGAAGGTGTAGTTGGGGTGTGTAAAGATAATGGATGTGAAACAGGTGGTTGGGATGGAGATGAATGGGGAGGAGATCGTTCTCTTGGTCTTTGTCTCTTGGCAGGGGGACTAAAGTGTTCCAGCTGTGTTTTACTTTCTCGTTTATCTCTTTCTCTATCTCGTTCTCTTTTCGGGGCAGGTGGATCATCAGGCACTGCTAAACCTTTTATCTGTAATCCTTCTGCTGTTTTTATTAGAGATCCTAGACTAGACTGAGGAACATTCACTTCACCATTATACATGAAGTCCAAAAGTGCTTCGAGATCACGCGATGTCACATCTTTCATAAACACTATTGGATGTTTACTCGGGTTTTTTGTAAACATCTGTTTGAAATAGTCACTACAGGTACTGAGAACAAATTTATGCGCTGCATAAAGCTTCCCACCACAGGCCAATGTGGCATCCACAAAAATTTCCTGAAAACAAAAAAAATAATGATTAGACATGTCAATGATAGCAAACAATTTTCATATTACTGTATCTACAATCTTACTTGTCATCCTCAACATTCAACATTTAGTACTGACAATATCAAATAAACATTTTGAATTTTCATATTTCCAAGCTATCCCCCACTCAATTGCTCCATAAGGCAAGATCCTACAGACATCTGGGTTACGATCTAACACTGTCAGTATTACCTGTCATATACCTCTCAATGATTCCAATGATCAATGTCCCCGAAGCCGAGTCTCTGACTAGGCCTCATGGTTGATGGTCTGGTCAATCAGGCTGTTAAATGCAGCTGCGCACAGCCAGACGTACGAGTCACATACTGGTTTCTCTGGAATCCTTTGAAGGTATTTATCAAGTGCTCTTTTCAACACTACGAGACATCGGCCAGTTATGCCCCATATGTGTAGACGGAGAATGTTGAAAAGTCTTGGGCCTTTGCTGTTGATCAAGTTTTCTCGCAGCGTGCTTAGCTCGTAAGTTCTGCTTTTAAATGAGACTAATTTGCACAGCCTACCAGGCCTTCTAGTCTCGTGTGGTGTCTCTCTCTCTTGCAATAATTTAGATGTTTTACTGAATGGATTCTAGCAGCAAAAGAGCTTTATATGCTCTCCAGGTCAACAATTTCTCCAGCTTAACAGGTTAACATTTTACAGAGGCAAAGCAGGGAACTTTTCAAATTGTGTTTCTTATGATCAACTTTGCCATCCTTCTCTGAATACATTCAAGTGAATTATGTCCATTTTAACCCTTAGACCGCACAATACATACATATATGATTTGATAAAAAAAATAATTTAACCTAAGTTTTTAAAACTTGCACAAACACTTTCCAATTTTTTTGCATAATCAACTAGGCAAATGCTCCAACTTTGTCTAAATGATCACACCGTAACTTGAAAAACAGGAGAATCAAAAATAATTTTAAAATTGAATATTGTAAACTTCAGATTTTTAATTTAGAATAAAAAATATGAACTATCACCAATTGTTCACTTAATGTTATTATTCTCTCAGAATAGCATATGATCTTCATTTTCATCAAATTAGAATATAGGTTTTCAGTATAGTTTACTGAAAAAAAAAAATCGTCAATAGGGCATTTAAAATTTGCTGCTAATTTAGACCCAAAAAAAATTATAACTCCAATTGTATAAAGTTTGAAATATACATTCTGAAGGGGTTGTAGAACAGACAACTAAGCACACAATGTCAAAATAGTGAGAATTGGTCAAAAACTGGAATTTTAGAAGCTACTCAAAGTTGAAACTCTAGTTTCAGAGATAATTTGAAGTTGAAGTTATCAACAATGAATAAAGATAGTTTTATTTCGTTAATTTAATTATATGTTTTAATAAACATTGTTTGGCATTCATACTCGAATATGTGAAAGTTGTTGGTCAATGTGTTGAAATGAAAAAATAATCCCAAAAAAAATCACAATATAGAGATAATTATAAAAATTATAATGATTTAGGGGATATATTTAGGGTATCCTTTATATAAGTGAAAAAGCTCTAATCTGGTCCCTAATCATCAAAACAACCTAAAGAGACAAAGAAAATAGTTTGAAATCAGAGAAAAAAATCAACCCAAAAAATATTAAAAGTTCCAAGTTTTGTGAGTTGTGACTGATTTATTTGTTGACTAATTTCATTCTATCTTCACATAGTTACGGAAACACATACATTCTCCAGCATGTAAAAGTTACAACAAAATCAGATAATAATGAAGAAAAAACTAAAATCTTAAAAAAAAAAATTCCCCTAAAAAAAATATTTTTGGGACATTGATGCAAGTAACATATATTAACATTGGACAATGTATTTATATGATATGTAACAAAATAGATCATATTAACATAGTTATTCACTATTATTTGTGTTATTATGTATTACTCGGCAATGATATAAAAGGCACCAACTGTATATCCACTTTGTGGACACTTCTTACTACAGTACTATTGTTCTTCTTTGAACATCGGGCAGGTGCTTGCATCTTTTTATTACTGCATAATCCTTCAGTTCCAGTTATTAGGAGCTGTTCTTATCAACAAAATGTTCTTATTTTTTCAAAAATTCATCTAAAATCAATTTCTGAAAATATTTTGATGAAAGTTACACAACACTGAAGCCAAAAAGTTGGAGATTTGTTTAACATTTTTAAGTTACTTTTACATAATTTGAATATTTTTCGCTACCAGGGCCCCCAATGTGTGCGGTAATATGCGCAGTCTAAGGGTTAAAAGACCATAACTGAACTACATAATCTAAATGCCTAACAAGGGCAGGATAAAGCTGAAGAATATTACTTAAATGCCTTGTTACTAACACTTCAAGAAATAAATTCCATACTTTTATACCATTGATTCCCAAATTCTTTAGTCATTATCCCTTTTCATATACTGTAGTGCCCTTATTAATGGCCCCCTACACTAAGTAAAGGCCCCCTCTCTGATATTATAACCTATACACTGCCTCAACTTATGGCCCCCACATGATGCAAAATGAGCCCCAAGGGGGAACCATGGCCCCCAATTTAGGAACCAGCGAGTTTTTGGCTTTACTTCCTTACTGATCATGATTCCCAGAACTTTTCACAATCATTTTTCACAATATCAACATTTTGTCTGGTGGATATCTGGTAACTTACTGTATCAGTGAATTACCTAAGCTCAACTTGACATTTTATAGCATTAGTCTAACTGCCAAGTTAGACTAATGCTATAGTTTAACTTGGACTATAGCATTAGTCCAAGTTACACTAATGCTAACTTGGTCCATTTTAAACAACTATATACATCATGTCATTGCTTTTTTTATCACAAATACTGCCAAGATACACCTTTTGTAACAGAACCCATTACATTACTACCACCAACTGTCAAAATGTGGCAACATCGATATCACAATGTCATCTCATACCCCAAGCTCCCCTCAGTCTTCCTAGATTGACCTGCAAATTTGATTACATAAGCAGGCTTATGTTATCCTTGGGAACTTTAGTATTTCATTTGTGCAGTGGATTTGTGCTACATTAGTAAATGCCTTTTTGTCTCTGAACTAACTGACCAGTTACCCTTATGGTTTATGCACCAGGAAAGTTCATGCTTTCAGTAGTAGTGATTCTCCTCCTACCCTTCTCATTACATTAGCAGATCCTTACAACTGTTCTGGGTTATAGCCATTTGTTATCTTGAGGTTATCTTGAGATGATTTCGGGGCTTTTTAGTGTCCCCGCGGCCCGGTCCTCCACCAGGCCTCCACCCCCAGGAAGCAGCCCGTGACAGCTGACTAATACCCAGGTACCTATTTTACTGCTAGGTAACAGGGGCATAGGGTGAAAGAAACTCTGCCCATTGTTTCTCACCGGCGCCTGGGATCGAACCCAGGACCACAAGTCCAGCGTGCTGTCCGCTCGGCCGATCGGCTTTGTACTTCACATATACACTATAAAAATTATTTAATTGTCCAATTCATTCAGTTCTGGTTCAGAAGAGAACCGGAGGTCTGGCAGAAGCTTAGTTGCTTGATAATAGAAGCTTAGTAAATACACTTTGTTTCTTTTTATCCCTCCATCCTATTTACAAGCATATGGTGGCAGTTTGATGAAAATTTGGCATCATATGAGCTGTCCAGTAGCATCCTTGCTACTTGATTGATCATGTGATGTCAGGTAGCACTTTGGAAAGATTGGAGTTTTGCAGAAAACCACTTTCTGGTTGCAATAAGCAATCTCCAATGATTTCCAAAATAATTTCCAAGCACTAAAATACCACTAAAATATAACCTGACAAGAACAGTTTAAAAGTTTACCACTGCATTGGTGCAGAATATAGACTAGCTCTGTGTTAGACTAATGAAGTGTAAGATCTTGCCTTAGAAAACAGCTCAGAAAAGTATTTTTCATACATGGTCTTTATTTACCAGAATAGGCTACAGTAAATGTTGACTATAATAAATTACTTCAGCATTAAGTTAAAAACATTATAAACAATTAAATATGAAGCCATGGGATTAATTCTTTGTGATCTCAGATGCACAAGAATCAACATGACAGTGAAACAAACTCCCCCACCTTCTGTACCAAGATCATGAGAAATTTATCATCAGCATTGAATATGGACAAACTGTCTGGTGCTGTTGGCAGGTCAGCAAGTGATGCCAATGCATCTTGAGGTTATCTTGAGATGATTTCAGGGCTTTAGTGTCCCCGCGGCCTGGTCCTCGACCAGGCCTCCACCCCCAGGAAGCAGCCCGTGACAGCTGACTAACACCCAGGTGCCTATTTTACTGCTAGGTAACAGGGGCATAGGGTGAAAGAAACTCTGCCCATTGTTTCTCGCCGGCGCCCGGGATCGAACCCGGGACCACAGGATCACAAGTCCAGCGTGCTGTCCGCTCGGCCGACCGGCTCCCACAGTGAACAGTGCACACAGTGAACAGTGCACACAGTGAGGGGTGAGGTCTCAGATTGGCGAGACGTCACAAGTGGAGTCCCGCAGGGGTCAGTCCTTGGACCTATACTGTTTCTGGTATATGTAAATGATCTCCCAGAGGGTATAGATTCGTTCCTCTCAATGTTTGCCGACGATGCAAAAATTATGAGGAGGATTGAAACAGAGGATGATAGTAGGAGGCTACAAGATGACCTGGATAGACTGAGTGAATGGTCCAACAAATGGCTGTTGAAGTTCAACCCGAGTAAATGCAAAGTAATGAAACTAGGCAGTGGAAACAGGAGGCCAGGCACAGGATACAGAATAGGAGATGAAGTACTTAATGAAACAGACAGAGAGAAAGATCTAGGAGTTGATATCACACCAAACCTGTCTCCTGAAGCCCACATAAAGAGAATAACGTCTGCGGCATATGCGAGGCTGGCTAACATCAGAACGGCGTTCAGGAACCTGTGTAAGGAATCATTCAGAATCTTGTACACCACATATGTAAGACCAATCCTGGAGTATGCGGCCCCAGCATGGAGCCCGTACCTTGTCAAGCACAAGACGAAGCTGGAAAAAGTCCAAAGGTATGCTACTAGACTAGTCCCAGAACTAAGAGGCATGAGTTATGAGGAAAGGCTGCGGGAAATGCACCTCACGACACTGGAAGACAGAAGAGTAAGGGGGAACATGATCACAACCTACAAAATCCTCAGGGGAATCGACCGGGTAAACAAGGATGAACTTTTCAACACTGGTGGGACGCGAACAAGGGGACACAGGTGGAAGCTGAGTACCCAAATGAGCCACAGAGACGTTAGAAAGAACTTTTTCAGTGTCAGAGTAGTTAGCAAATGGAATGCATTAGGAAGTGATGTGGTGGAGGCTGACTCCATTCACAGTTTCAAATGTAGATATGATAAGAGCCCAATAGGCTCAGGAATCTGTACACCAGTTGATTGACGGTTGAGAGGCGGGACCAAAGAGCCAGAGCTCAACCCCCGCAAGCACAATTAGGTGAGTACACAGTGAACAGTGCACACAGTGAACAGTCTATATAGAAACTGGCTGAGTGGAAGTGCTGCCAACGTCATCAAGTTGAATATTCCAATTGTGTGCAATGGACTAGCTAATGATATTCCATTATCTGTACAATGTAATTAGTGTCATACACATCCATCCATAGCCAAAAAGAGTAACAATATTCAAGTGCTTCTTAAGACAACACTTAACACTATCGATTCCTTTACAAATAATTAACGATCACACAAGCATTATGCGTACATAGATTGCTTGGTTAAATTATATCAGCAGGTCACATTGCAAAAGCATACAAGCCCTACAGAAATAACATCAGTATGTTGAATGCAGTTGCATTATTCTAGCTTTACTAGGTCAAAATTAAATCCAGGCACATGTCGACCTAGTCCTCTACTTTGGTACAAGTCGATGTATTTGAAAAAGCAAAAAATATCTCGGAGATATATGAAAGCTGAGCTAACAAAAAAAGTAATATACATGACATATACCTGGGTGGAGAGTTTGTCCATCTCAATGCCTTTACAAGGGTTATGTTATAAGTTGTATAGAGTGTCTTTAACTTAAATATAAATTATAAAGACTACTTCAATTAATTTTTGTGAGGTGAAATAATTGAAATTACATGCATGACAAAGTTTTGGTTAAGAAGTTACAATGTATAAATTTCTTACTTTATTTATAAATATGAAAATAATTGTTTACACAATTTCATATTCAGTTTTTCTTTTTATTGCCAAATGCCTGAATGGCTTTCAAACTAGAAAATTATCTTCATCTTTCTACAAGGTAGAGTATATTACAGTACATACAAAAGAAATCTACTTGTAGATAAAATTTAAAATACAAGACTTATTGGTTATTTCAAAAAGAGAATTACATTCTCTTCATTATCACAATATCACTATTACAATATCACAAAGTAAGTTTGGCATGGTGCATCTACAGTACCTCAATATACCAGTGTATCCCCACAATTACATTAAATACTACCACTTTGGCATTATAATGTCCCAAATTACAAAATGTCCAAGTAAGGGAATTGAGTACATGAATGGTTAATATCCCCAAATTAATTCTGTGTCTAAGATGGAACAATGCTCCGTTTCCCAAACACCAATCCAAAAATACTAACTCCTATCTGCTACCTGTAACAGGAAGCACCACTTATGAATTCAGTACAGTACTTGATCAATATCAAGTGATGGAGCAGAGGTCCACCCCTCGTAATGCTCTAAATGATTTAATGACATTCAAAGATGTCATGGAAGACATAGGATGACAAAACTTGCCACACACAGTACAATAGATCACACAGCTTTATAACTTAGGAATACCACCATAGTTTAAACTATAAGAACTATACTAAAGTATGTACTGTAGTAGGCAATGTGATGGATATAAAACTCCAACTTCATGAGACCAAGACATATTAAAGTATAAAACTGTACTGGTAAAGATTCTAGATGGAACTCGAGGTTGGTTGAATTAATGAGATAAATATCTTAATTCTGAATAGCATTAAGGCTTTCAATAGAGGGGAAACTGCCCCGAATGTGAAAATAGTATTAGAGAGCAAATGAGACTATTAGAGATAAAAATGTGCAATATCTTGTTCTTATAGAAATCCCATCAATTTAGAGAGACTGTCGGCAATCACAAAAATGGTATTTCTAAGAACTCGCTAATAGCCAAAACACTTGTGTATTTACCTAGTTGTGCTTGCGGGGGTTGAGCTCTGCTCTTTCGGCCTGCCTCTTAACTGTCAATCAACTGTTACTAATTTTTTTCCCCCCACCTACACACACACACTCCCCCAGGAAGCAGCCCGTGACAGCTGACTAACTCCCAGGTACCTATTTACTGCTAGGTAACAGGGGCATCAGCGTGAAAGAAACTCTGCCCACTCTTTCTCGCTGGCGCCGGGAATCGAACCCCGGACCACAGGATCACGTGTCCAGTGTGCTGTCCACTCAGCCACCGGCCCCTGTGTGTTAATGTTTCTGTGTTGTTAGTTACAGGACACCTATTAGGCTTATTAAGATTTTTTTTAGCCAATGACAAGACATTGCCCCCAGATACAACCTGCAAGTTTAATAATTATCAGGTATCTAATAACAGTTAGCGGCATCATCTATAAGGAAATGTGCCCAAACATCTTCCCTGGCCAGAAATTGAGCTTAGGATCAAAATACTTTCAGTGTAAGTTTTATTTAAATGTGGTAAGAAGTTGAAAAAGTTAATCTTGTTCAAAATTTGTTACATTTAGGTTACAATTTCAGCTATATAAAAAAAGTGTTTTGTCAGCAGTAAGGATGGGACAACATAAGTAGCATCACTTTCATTCATAACAAAAAGAAATCAAAATACTGTATAATTTTAAAATTCAGCTATTTCCATGCAACCTAACAGTGCAAATACATGAAAATTTGGATTTACTGTACAACAAAAATTAATTTCAGTATGTTCTGTATATCCTTGTACAGTAATGTAATAAATAAATATAAATATATATATATATATATATATATATATATATATATATATATATATATATATATATATATATATATATATATATATATATATATATATATATATATATATATATATATATATATATATATATATATATATATATATATATATATATATATATATATATATATATATATATATATATATATATATATTAATAAATCTTTGATCCACTAACAAGCATTATTAATTTGAAAACTTTGCTAGCATGAGACAAGTGCACATATAATTCACCATTGTAAACTACACTATGTTTTTCAAGCCAATAAAATCAAGCAACATTACTTTTAAATACCATTACGGCAGATTACCTGTTCCCGCAGGAATGTGAGGATGTCCACAAAGTGGGCCTGGTGGTTATTCCACTTTAAGGAGAGAAGCTCCTCTGCCATTTTGCCACACCTAGAAATAAAGGAAAAACCAAATTAAGTATTTAAGCTTTCAACATCTGAAAGATAATTAACTGGTAGGTATGGAGAAAAACAAAGAAGTACTTCCTCTTGACAGCTCATATAATATATTCAAGAGCAAGAAAATATTGACAGCAACAAAATGTAACTATTGTACTGTGCACGCACACACTTGTGCATGTAAGTACATTATATATGTATAAATTTTGAGTTATCTGATTTTTTTCATGCCTAATTTTAGTATTATCTGTAAATTTTCTCATTGCTCTTGAATCTCATCTAAATCATTCATATTGTGCACAATAGATCCTTAGACAGGCCTGGGGCCACTCAACTTTCAATGGTTTCCAACTCAGACTTAAAACCATTTATGTTAGCTCTTCATTTCCTTTGAAGTAACTATACCCTAATCCTACTTAAAACAACCTCCACCTTTATCACTGTAGCAAGTCTATCGTGAGACACAGAATCAGTATCAGAGCTTTTCTCACGTCAATGAAATAATGTTAGTAATCCTTTTCACTATCAATGCCAGGAAATATGCTGGAAAAGAACAAAAGCAAATTTGTTATAACACAAGCAGGCCTTAGCAAATTGATATTGTGAAGAGTAAGTAATTATCAAAAGAAGGCATCAAACCAGGAAGGCTATGCAGCAAATTTAATATGTAGCAAATTTAATATGAAGGCTAATGTAGCAAATAGATATTGTTAACAATTTATCATTTTTTCAACATGTAAATGAATGACTTTGTAAATTATAGATTTGAACAATTTTCTGCAATAGGCAATAGGCTACCTGGTTGCTAGTTAAAAATAAAGTACAATAATGTATGCCTCTTATTAAAAATTGGCACAACATTTACAACCCTCCACTACTCCAGTAATCTGACTGTAGGTATCCAAAGTTTGCTGACTGTAATAAAAGTGTAGACTTGTGGGCCACTTCCTAAACCACTTGTAATATAAAGACTATTGATATAAGTAACTCACTGAGAGAAGCTAAAATCTTTCCTGCACTCAGATCATCATGGAGAAAGTGTTTAAATAAATCTTATTAATGTCTAAATAAAAGTTTACATAAAAATTTAAATGTTATTGTCTTGGCTCTCCCAATCCTGCTATAGTCATGAATTACTGTAAAAAAAAAAAAAGAATGCAAATTTTTTTCTTTCTGATTCTAATTAATACAAACTGCTCTCTGCTCGTCACAATTACCTCAGCTTCCATAGCAATTATTACTAGGGAAGCGCAAAGTTAATTTGGTAACAAAAAGTTTGTCAGCCGAATTATGAGCCACAATGGTTCGTAAAGTACAGCAAGCATCAGCTCACTAATCTTGAAGATTCTATACACCCTCACAAGAGCAAAAGGCGACTTAAAACCTTTGTGTGAAACTTCCGTCTCAGAGGCCCCGAAACTTGATGAGGTTCAGTCCAGGTCGTCGTCATATTAGTGGTGAGGTTAGGGAGGTATGAGGTGGAGGTGTGAGTAGTGGAGACCCAGAATGAGGTGTGAGTAGTGGTGGAGGTCCAGAGTGAGGCGTGAGGCGGTGAGTGAAGCTGCCCCCTTGGAGCCCTACACCAGCTTCACACACTCACATTCCTCCCTCCAACATCCCCACCACCAACATTCCTCCTCGACACACCTATCCCTCTCGTTACCCCTCGACGGCTCAACTAGAGTAACACAGGTGAAGTAATGCCTCGCCTGACAGCCTGCCCCCTTGCTAATTCCTACCAGAAAGCTTCAACCGCTCCAAGATGGCGTCACTTGGCCTCTCCAAGGTGCGCGTCATGCTATTATTTCCCCCATTAAACCTCCAATCAACACACCACTCCACCTCTAAACCCGCCAGACACATCTCCGGCAAGATGGACTACACGTCACGATTAATGTTTCCGTATAAAGGTGTTTACTTACATTAATATCACGAAATATAAGAGAACATTGTATTTCCCGCTGCAGTAGTCGTTGACTGCGCTCCTCTCCCGACTGATGCCGCCGCCGCGCCTGCCTCCTGATTGGTCCGCTCCCGAGGCTGCCTCTCTCACACTCTTCCCTTCAATTCTTCGCAAACGTCAAATTTGACTTCAAATTGCAGATATTTGATTACCCAAATCAAATTGTCGTGCGTTGTCAACACTATAGTACCCCGATATTGGGTCAAAATGAGGGTTTTTAATTGGGAAAAGGGTAAATCTTTGTTAGTTAGGACCTTTGTCAGGAGAAGAGAGTTCCTCATTGGCCAGTCTTCCCTGCCACCTCTAGCGGGCTCTCCAAATATTACGAAAATCAATACAGCCGTTACTTTCATTTTCGAAAGCTCTTTTTAAAACATTTGATTTAAAATATGTACTTAAAACATATTAGAGACAGAAGCCATGATGCTAAAGGTAATGCAAGTACTGCTGTAATTCTTATATATTTTTTTGCTTTGGGAAGAACTTGCAGAAGCGAACGAATGCTGAATTTAGAAATTTATGAAAAAAACATTAATATATAGAGGTACTGTGCATGTATGTATATATGAAAATGAATTGCCGTGTAGGAAATATAAAAGGAAAATGTAAGAAACTTTTAACGTGTTTGCCCCTATAATTTAACATCGCTTAATTCATGTTTAATTTTGTATTAATAAGCTTTGTATGCACACAATTGGCTAGAGTTAGAGTACAAATCTAGAGCAGCTAATGTAGGTTCACCTCATACCTCCATCTCCAGGGACGGTTTACACCTGGGAGGAGAGTCTAGTCTATTACCTAACAGGCAATGTGATGTTATAGTGGCCAGAATACGCCTGGCATATAGGCGTATCTGGCAGCTTTCTCAACTAGCATGCACTGTACGTAACACCGAAGCTTTGAGTAGACTATAAGGAGCTCTTCCAGTATCTTTTGAGTAATAAAATAATTGAAAAGCTCCAGGTATCTCATGTCATTTGGTCTAAAATCATAGATAAGTGGGCAGTCACTTACATAGTGCAGAGGAGTGTGTCCTATATAGCTCTTTTTCACAAAGTTTACAAGGGTCAGAAGACTGGTAAATGCTTTCCATTATTGAAAAATGCAAGGCCTTTCATGTAATATATATACAATACACACTACAATAAGTAATAAACATATCAACAACACGTCACAGCTCTATCAGATTGATAAAGATAAGGACATACAGGCGCTATGTGATCACCATCGATATCTATGGGAGGTGGCTGCAGGTAACGAATCTCCCAATGGTGAACGTTCAAATTGTAAACTATGTGAACAAGAGCTAGGACATACTTTCTAACATTATATCTCTGTTTGCCCTGTTATCAGTGGCTTCAGACCAAATGATATAGGGTACTTTGAGGTCTGTAATTACTTCATTAACCCAGGAATATTGGAAGATTTTCTTGTGCTGTACACAGATTTTGCCAGTGGGGGTTGATAGATCAGTCTCAGATTTCATGCTCTCCCCTGATTCCATGTATGACTGGCCGTCGTGTGAGGTGGCGATGTTGGTTGAGCTTCTAGCTGGGTTTTTTATCTACACTGTGTAGTCTTTCATTCATAATAGGGTGGCAGCACATTACTGTGTATACCTAAGCTTTTTTTTTTAAAGAAAATACATTCTTTGAGAGAAGTCTTGTAGGAACTGGTACTAGTAGTTATAATATAAAATTTCCTTGATTCAGTGCTTAGCTCTTGTGAAAATCGTAAAGTTGTTGTTTAGTCAGAGTTTGTTTTTTGTACTAAGGTATTTTTTCCCCCCTGATTCCATCCATGTATGACTAACCATCCTGTGAGGTGGGAATATTAGATGAACTTATAGCTAGTTTATTATCTACACTGTAATCTTTCATATAGAATAGGATAGCAGCACATCGATGTGTATACCTAAGCTTGTTAATTAAAAAAAGTGATCCACCAATCATATTTTAAAGTTGCTTAACAAAACCTTAGGAATATTCGAACAATCATTTGACCAAGGAAAATACAGTGGTTATTCAGCCTTACGAATCTCTGATGGGCCCCCAATCTGGACTAATATCCAAGCATAGAGAAATTTTACAATTTCAGTGCAGACTAACAAAAAAAATCACCTCAGAAATAAGTCAAGCCTCATACGAAGAACAGTTGAGGCTTTCATGACTAAAAGGAGGAAGTTTATCTCTCAGAATGTTCGGTAATACGTTTATTGCATGTGATGTGTATCTATGTATGTATTAATACGATGTACTGAACGGGGTGAGAATAGCTTGAGCTACCTCATCCCTTTGTGTGTATTTTACCTCAATAAACTTATTTCAATTTCAATTTCAACTAACAACACGGCAAACCAAACATGTTACAACGGCTGATTCGTCGAGACATTGAAAGTACTGAACAAATTGGAAGATATAATCGAGACCACTTTAAGAGGTCCACTGTAACAGACAAGGTTCAACAGCTTCAAGCTCAACAAGCCACAATGTAGTACAGACAATAGGAGATGCCTTCTTCGCCCGAAGGTTAATAAACCCATAGAATCGCCTAACCGCTTAAGTCGTAAATACCGAGACTACTCCAATTCAAAATTCCACTGGAAAAATATCCTGAATAATATGGGAATCAATGACATGCATTTCATTTTCTTTCTTTATTATGCACCCCATACCCATCCCGTGGGCGGTGGTGTAAAGGATTACAGAGGCACATAATCGGTTCAGGAACTGAACCCTCTAGTTTAGCTAAGCAAATAACAATCTTTTGACGCTAGTTACAAAATTATTAATGTTATATATACATTTACACATACTCATGCATACATGTACATATACATACGTATACTTATATACATACACATACATATTTAATCACTCACACAAATACACACATCAATAATCTTTTGTGTCACAAGTGATTCAAGAAGTCGCCGGCTTTTTGTTTCGTTTGAGGCTATTAGTGATGGCGGCCCTCGGGTAAAATAACAGGTTATACCATATTAATTCTGGAGAGTATAATGCCGCGTTATATTTGACGTAGGGTTTTGTCCATACAAAGTATTTAGTTCTAAACACATTACTCTTAATACTAGTGCTCAATGCTAGTGATGGAGATCCTAGGTCTAGTTCAATTTTATAAAATTTACAAACAGACTTAGTTGTTTTGTTTTTGGGTTGGTGTTGAGCGTAAGGCCTATCAACCGAGGGAAGGTTAAGGTCACACAAGTGCTTCCTGACGAACCAGCAAGTATACTTTAGTCCTTTTAGTTTAGTTCATTTATTATGCACCCCATACCCATCTTGTGGGCGGTAGTGGAAAGGGTTACAGAGGCACATAATGGGCTCAGGGACTGAACCCCACAATTCATTTAGCTAAGCAAGTTACAATCTTCATGAGCTAGTTACAAAATTCAATATAAGTCGTCACATCAACAATGGGTTCGAGATCGATCTCAAGTACAGATTCTAAATTAAGCAACTGACATATGTGGAGAGCTAGTGTCAAAATTTGTTTGTCCTGCACACCGCCCCCCATCCTGTGGGCAGCGGTGGATAGGTTACAGTCACTCAGTTACTACCTACAGTTAGCAAACTGGGGATATTTGGCTAAAATTTCTGGTAGCAGATCATTTTGAATGAAATATTTACACATCGTTGGAACATTGGTTATAGAATTGTCTCTAAATTCACGTATCTTTTCGCACTCCATCACATAGTGACGGAGGGTGTGCGAATAATTTTGTTGACACAGCTTACATTTGCTCAGGTCTACATCAGCAGATAATGAGAATTCCCAGAGATACTTGTAACCGAGTCTAAGCCTACCAAAGTAAACACAAGGTATATATGCACAGAGAAGCGGGATACTCCTCTCAGCGTATTATATTCCTTGCTGTCTTGTCTACCTCGTTATGTAGGGTAATTCAAAGGACATTCTGAAATCCTTGCTCTGTGTACAATTTGCATAAATTATTTATCTGTACACTAGTTCATAATTCAGAGGTAGGACCAAAGAGCCGAAAGTCAAACCCCGCAAGCACAACTAGATTAGTGCAATTAGTCGAGTACTAGTTGAGGTCGACCCCAGCAGGTGCGTCATATGCATGTTGAGAGCCCCCCTAGAATGCAAAACTCTATGGACTCGGCCCTGAACATTTCTTCACTGACTTCATGAATGGACCATCTTATCTTGAGATGATTTCGGTGCTTTAGTGTCCCCGCGGCCCGGTCCTCGACCAGGCTTCCACCCCCAGGAAGCAGCCCGTGACAGCTGACTAACTCCCAGGTACCTATTTACTGCTTGATTAATTTTATTTATATACTATGATTAATTAATGGGTTGAATCCCGTTCAATGGAGGCTTGGGGAGCCGACCCTGACACCCCCATATGGCCGTCTCCCAATGTCCACCAATTGGAAGTAACCAGGGGCCAGATTCACGAAGCAGTTACGCACGCACTTACGAACCTGTACATCTTTTCTCAATCTTTGGCGGCTTTGTTTACAATTATTAAACAGTTAATGAGACAGTGACCACGACAGTGACCAAGACAGTGACTAGGACAGTCATAAGTTGAAATGTTCCTATTACCAAAACATTCCAGATTCAGTGCTAAGTGTACTTGCAGAACAGGTGGCTTTGTCTCGATTCACAATAGAGAATCCCGGGTTCGATTCCCGGTCGGGACAGAAATGGTTGGGCACGTTTCCTCTCACCTAATGCCTTACTTCACCTAACAATAAATATGTACCCGTCCCCTTGGACTGGACGGTAGAGCGACGTTCAATCCCCGACCGTCCAAGTGGTTGGGCCCCATTCCTTCCCCCCGTCCCATCCCAAATCCGAATCCCTTGGCAGTGCTATATAGTTGTAATGGCTTGGCGCTTTCCCCTGATAATTCCTCCCTTCTCTAAACTTGGAAGTAATGAAACCGTTACCAGCAGCCTAAAGACCTTGCTGGAGACGTTGATATATTAAGACTAGGATCCAGATTCACGAAAGCACTTTCGCAAGCTCTTACGAACGTGTACATCTTTCCTCAATCTTTGAAGGCTTTGGTTACATTTATTAAACAGTTTACAAACTTCCCA